TCACTAAAAATATGTTAGAAGATTACTATATTGACAGGTTTGTAACTATTAGAGTTGGTTTTCCGTTTACAGTACAAACCATTCAACATGTTATCTATATATATAAAAGGCAAAGCCCTCACTGACTGACTGACTGACTGACTGACTGACTCACTCACTCACTCACTCATCACTAATTCTCCCACTTCCCGCTTACCTAGGAGGATGAAATTTGGTACAATGATTCTTTAGGCATTAAATAGGAAAACTAAGTGGTTTTTATTCTGATCGGACTCTCGGGCTCCGCCCCCAGTGGCTCGGGAGTTTCCCATGTTAACTTAATGAGTACTCATATTTAAATGGAATTAATGAATCATAACAGCTGTTTCAATTAAACAAGTTGGTTCTGTTCTATGATGTTCAATAGCATTAAAGTTACAAGGATTACCAACAGAGTGCAGCACTATTTTTTTAAATATTTGACAACAGCTAATTTGAAACCAAAAGGTGAGTGAGCGTAGCGAACGAGCTAACCTGAAGGCAAGTGAGCGCAGCGAACGATCTCCAACCGTAAAGGTGAGTGAGCGTAGCGAACGAACTTCAAACAGGACGTGTGAGCGCAGCGAACGAGCTCCAACCTAAAGGTGAGTGAGCGTAGCGAACGAACTTCAACCAGGACGTGATTGAGCCATGCGAATGAGCTCACGTATGAAGTTAAACGGGGCAAAGCCCGCGGGTACAGCTAGTTTGATTATAAAGTACCTTAAAATCTATCATTGATTTTGTATCCTAGGTAGCCTAAATGAGTGTTCACAGTCTGAGTTAAAAAAAGTACTATTATCATGTTAAGAAATACAGTCCAATTTCGTTTCTAAATTAAATGGTGGGAGTGAAACCATTTGGCATTTTCAAAGAACCAACATTGTCTCTCTTGTATACTGACCCCGTAGCAAAGCACACATAGTGGCTAGTATTATATAATTATATTGTTAGTACTTACACCAATGAGGGCTACTTTAAAAGTTAATAAGTAAACTAATAGAACAAAGTACCCTAGAAATATTATATTATATAAACTTAAAAAAAATTATTGATTTAGGGGTACTTTGGGCTATGAATTTTCTTACTATTATACACATTTTTTTATTTTGTACGTTTTTGTACGCACTAAACGCAAAAACTACTGTAAGGACTGGGATCAAATTGCACACAAATAAAGCTAAAGATCCGAGGATACTTACATAGGACTATTCCTGCTTCGATATTGACCAAGGGCTATGTCCCGTGGGCTTTTAAAGGTCTGAGGTAAGCGTTTAAAAGTAAATACGACTGGTCTCCATAGCAACAAAGATCATACTCAATCATCCAAATGTGAACAATCAAATCAGCAAAACTGTCAAAAATGCATATTTTGATATCAACAGACTGATTTCCAATTCCACATGGGGGAGTGGGTGATTCAAACATATTAAATACTGCACTAATATTAGAAGAGAAATGGTATGAATCATAAACTATAACATATTATGTCATCCGCACGAATGTAAATATGATTTAACATTATTTGGAGATATGACCTCCGGATCGTTGTAGAAAATTTTTAAATCCATGGCTTACCTTACGATCCAATTTTTTATTGTGGATGAGTAATAGCTTCCTTTAAATAAAAAAAATTGTAGTGGTAATAAAAAAATGTGTATTACTAAGCTGTATACCTTGGGAGCAAAATGGTCTAGGGAAAGAGCACAAAATAATATTTAAAAGAATTTCAGGTTAGAACTAGTGTCCTGTAAAGTGAAGGTGGGAAAAATAAAACTAAACTGTAACCGGTGAAAATCAAATAATAGTGTAGAAGTTAGTTCTTTTGGCTTTGTAAACAAAGTGGATTCGTCTAGTCTTGAAGACATAATTACACGTCGTTCTCAACAGTTCGTCTATTTCCCGCTAGACAACTCTTGTATCGTCGTTCTCAACAGTTCGTCTCGTTACCGCTAGATAGCACTGAAACCTAGCTTTTAATGTACCGCAATTTAATCGGTAATATAAATTGTATTGAGAACCAAAAATAAATTTCAACTTAGCCAAACAAATGTTAAAAGTTATTTATTTAACCCCCATTTACTACATTCTGGTATAATACTGCAGTAGTAGCATAAATAAGTCGTTTTACTTTTTGACACTCGCAGTGATTTTTGGATGGGAAACGGACAGAGGAGCGCAAGTCGTAAAACTGTCAACCAAGTCCAAGTTCATATGATTGTGGCGACTAGCGCCACGTCTGGGGGAAGTGCCTGCTCGCTGGGAGCATATACTTCCGGTCTGCTGTGGGTCCAAGCCCTGGTAGCTCAGCTACCTGTAGACGTCAACGTCGTTCTGGGAGTTAGTCGTCGATCCGGGGGCGAAGCTGGGGAACATCCTCAGCGACCAGGTCCCTGATGTGTTCCCACGGAGAGTCATCCGCCGTCTCTTCAAGTCTCGCTCGAAGGCCGTCTACGAAGTCTCGGAGAGTTGTCACTGCCGTGGAGTCCCTGATGACGGAGTTCCTCACGTACCAGGGTGAATCTGTCGCCTGTCGAAGAGCCTTGCTCTGGACGACGAGCAGCCTCCGTCTAGCGGTTCTGCAGGTGAGGTGGTACCATGCAGGGGCTGCGTACGTGAGGACAGGCCGAAGCAGGGCCGTGTAGAGTCTGACTCTTGCAGCCGTCGACAACTTCCGTGACTTGAGCAGCGGGCGGATGGCGCCAAGACCTTTCCTGGCGAGGTCGCAGACCCTCTCGACGTGGGGAGTCAGGGTGAGTCGCTGATCCAGCAGGACGCCGAGGTACTTCACCCGGCGCTTCCATGGGATGTCGGCCCCGTCTAGGCGGAGGTGTTGACCATCGTCCTGCCTCCTCGACCTCGTGAAGGAGATGGCCTCACTCTTGTCAGCGTTGACTTTGACTCGCCACTTCGTCAGCCACGGCAGCAACAGGTCCAGCTGTCGCTGGACATACACCCTGGACATCCTCAGGTTGGCGGAGGTGGCAGTGAAGAGCGCATCATCTGCATAGAGCGAGAGCTGCACTCTCGGCGCCAGGGGTATGTCATTGGTGTACCACAGGTAGAGTATCGGCCCGAGAACCGACCCCTGTGGCACACCCGAAGAGACTGGCCGTGGTGTGGAGGTCGCCCGTCCAACGGAGACCCTGAAGCGGCGAGCGGTCAGGTAGCTCTTGACGAGCCTGTAGATCGAGCCGGGTAGAGGGGAGGACGCCAGCTTGTAGAGAAGTCCCTCGTGCCAGACCCGGTCGAAGGCTTTGCTCACGTCGATCAGGACTGAGGTCGAGTGGTGCTTCCGTTCCATCGCTCCAGCGATGGTGTTGAGGACCCGCCGCAGCTGGAGGGTGGTGGAGTGGCCCCGCCTGAAGCCGTACTGCTCAGTCCTGATCGAAGAGAAGAACTCCTCGGGGAATCTCGCCAGGATGATCCGCTCCAGCATCTTGGAGAGCACAGGCAGGAGGGAGATCGGCCTGTGGTTCTCGGGGAAGATGTGGTCCTTGCCGGGCTTGGGGATGAGTATGACATTCGCCAGCTTCCAGGTGTCGGGGAAGTGGGCCAGCCTCACGCAGGAGTTGAAGAGGCAGGTGATGACAACAATCACCCAAGCCGGCAGGTTCTTCAGTGCTGGAGTCCCGAGGGAGTCCGGTCCAGGGGCCTTCTTCGGACGGAGTCGAGCGATGTGGCCCTTCACCTCGCTGACGGTCACGTGGGGGATGTCCTCTTCGTCGGAGTCCGGCTCGTAGGTCTCTACGAAGTCGTCCACAACCTCGCAGAAGTCTTCGTCGTAGACGTCCGGGTGTGGGGAAAACTGGTCTTCCAGCGAGTCTGCGAAGGTCTCTGCACGGTCTTCGGGCGAGTAGACGAGCCCGCGTCCCCCATGCAGCGGCCTGTTGTGGGTCTTCGTGCCGCGCAGAGCCTTGGCGATCTTCCAGATCCCGTCGTTGGTGTCAGCCTGGCCCTCGACGAAGTCCTCCCACTCCTGGGACCGATGCTCAGCCAGCAGTCGGGAGCACCTCCTGGCCTGCCGGTTGAAGTCCGCCTTCGCTCGAGGGCAGCGGGACTGTTGGTACGCCCTCCTCAGGCGACGTCGCAGGGTGATCTCCTCCCGCAGCCCCTGGGGAAGTGGTGGGGGGGCTCTCGGGTCAACGTCAGAGCTGGCGGCAACCACAGTGTCCTGCAGCAGCGTTGACAGGTCCAGGACTTGCTGGTCGAGCTCCTCTGCCGTCTCAGGTGGCGGGGGAGGCGGTCGAGGGGCGTTGGCCAGGAGGTTGGCGAACTTCGCCCAGTTCACCCTCTTCCTGCGGACTGGAGGGCGGTCGGGGACTCCTCCCTGTGGCAGATCGATGATCACCGGGACGTGGTCGGAGGAGAGGTCGGAGACGACGAAGACTTCGACTGGGCCATCGAACGAGCCAGCCAGACCGATGTCCAGGATGTCAGGCGGGTGTCCAGCACGGGGGTAGTGTGTGGGGTCGGCCGGGGCAACCACGTTGATGTGAGGGTGGGCAGTGAGGTAGCGCCTGAGAGCGGCTCCAGTGAAGTTGCCTCTCCTGCAACCCCAGTCTAGGTGCTTCGCGTTGAGGTCGCCTGCCAGAAGCGCCGGGGTGCCGGGGGGCAGCAGCATGTCCAGGAGTCCGGGGTCGAGGCGTCTCGCTGGGGGGTTGTAGGCAGAGGAGACTTCCAGCTCTGCACCGTCATGCTGGAGGGCGATGGTCGTCACTTCGATGCCAGGCGGGAGGTTCCTGACGATCGGCCTGTGGGTGACCCGACGATGAACCAGTATCGCCGAGCCACCACTGGGACGTTGTTGCAGAGGCCTGTCTGTCCGGTGAGTGTAGTAGTTTCGGACGTTGAACCTGTCCCCACCGCGCAGATGCGTCTCCTGGATGAGGGCAACGTCAACGTCCATGTCAGTGAGGAGTTGTGTCAGCTCGTAGCGTCTGTCGGCAAGCCCGTCGGCGTTCCACGTGAGGATGCGAAGTCTACGCATGATGTTGGGTCAACTGGTCAACAAGTCGCTCGACGACGACCAACATGCTCCTCAGCGTGGAGATGAGTTGAGCCAGCTCAGACTGCTGCGACGGGCTCTTAGAAGACTGGGCCGGGGTTGAGGCCGGCTCGATAGGCTGGGCAGGGCGGCTGGGCTGCGGGGCAGGGCTGCTGGGCTGCGGGGCTGGGCTGCTGGGCTGCGGGGCTGGGCTGCTGGGCTGCCGGGCAGGGCCGCTGGGCTGGCGAGGTGGGACTTCCAGGCGAGGGCGGGGAGTTCGCCTCACTCGAGGGTTCGGGGTCTCGGCCGGGGCGGCGGACTGCTCCACAGGAGGGGTGGGTGTTCGGGGTCTCGGGCCGGAAGCTCTGCCGCGGTTGTCCGGGTTCCGAGGAGCTCGACGACGTCTTCTGCGCTGAGTCCGGAAGCCCTCGTCATCGACCTCGGGAGCCCCAGGTGCCTCTTCGTCCACTGGGTCAGGTCTCGGAGCCGGTGGGTCGACCCGGCGCGGTTGACGGCCCGACGGTGCCGTGGACGATTTCGCCGCAGCCGCGTACGAAGCCCGTTGCAGATTCTTGTAGCAAGTGCAGCCCCTGTAGTTGGCAGTGTGGGCCTCACCACAGTTGCAGCACTTCGCCTGGGCTGCTGGCTCCTTGGGGCACTCGGACACTGTCAACCCCTTGGCCGAAGAATTCGCCGGGGGTAGGACCAAGGAGCGCAGAGGTGCTTGCGCTCCTCGGTCCGACCCGGGCAAGAAACTAATCCCCTACTTACGAGGGTTGAACAAGACAATGCTTGGGTCAACCCTGCGATTAAATCCCATTAGTCGCGCCTCACTGACTACACCATTGATTCAGGCATATTTTTCTAGTGCAACTTAATACCAAACTAATGTTGTATCAACAAACTACCAAGCCGTACACTTTCACTTTCGAATTTAAATTGCAATAGAAAAGCTGATCCTTCAGTTGAATGTTGAACCACATTTAGATTAGATTTATAAAACAGTTAATAAAAATGTATGTTATAGGCTACTTTTTGATAATTACGACTTGGATAAGGTATGTGACTTTTTTATTCATGGTGTGTATCTAAAATCAATTAATGGAAATGTACGTTTATTAAAAGTGAATAATAACTAATAAGTTTATTCACTTTTAACAACTGCTTTAAACAAAAATAATCTTTGAAAAGAAAGGGGTGTTGCACCGTTAGTTTTAGCTTCGAAAATGTGTTGAACCCTATCAAAATGTGCAAATTTGCAATGGGCCCCCTCGCTATGAAATATACTATTTTTTTTATGCAGGAATGGTTTGTAAAATCCTTAGTTAATATAAATCCACGAATACAATCAATTGCTTTCAGCTTGTACCCACCATTGATAAAAACAAACCTGAATTTTACATCTTAGTTTCACAGGTTAATTCAACAGACTCTTCTTTATGATATATAGAACGCGCCTATCCATTGAAAGTATTTTATTTTTTCATTTATTAATAAATAGTGTGCCGTGCGCGTCACATTTTTATACATACATACTCAGCGCGCGAGCAATAATTTACTGGCCGAAGCGTATCAATAGAAAAGTAATCAAAATTATATGTATCAATACAGTATTAAGTTGATATACTTTGTAGTTTCTCAGATTCGACAGCAAGGATCGGAGTCAGAATTTGACTATTATATTTTATTATATAGTATTAAAAATTTGACGCTATCAATCCGTAACCACGGTCAAAGATAAAGAAGACAAGTATCAAGTAAGTAAGTATGTTTATTGTATTTGTGTCATAATGGTGTTTTTTATGTGGACAATTTTGTACAATTTTGAATCCCATATATTTTATTTACAAACACACAATACGGGCCATACTCAATTCATTTCACATTTCTTATGAGGTAAGCTTTACTTTTTTATGCCAACAATGATAAAATAATATCACAAAAACAAAATTTTACAAAGGAACAATTTTTAACAGTTGCATAGCCAACACTTTATATGGTAGCATACACCAAATTCCATATTATTTTAAAGTTATTGCAATTCTAATCGTCTTCCTAATTTAAACTCAATTTGTATTACTTTCTTTTAGTTTTCGAATTACCATCTATATTTGGCATTTATATTGTCACCATGTAAAACTTGAATAAAGACCAGTTTAAATTTCTATTATAGCCTTCTCGTTTTAAAACTCCGTCCTGAGCATGTGTCGGTTATTGTTATTTTAATTTATCATTAAAATATAGTATTTATGTTTATATTTATTGGTAATCCGGAGGCTGTAAATCTAATTAAACGATACTTAAACCATTACTTTGGAAATAGCCAAGTATATTCTGTCTAAACAAATTTGTGCTTGTCTAATCAGTTAGGAATAATTAATTATAGGATCTTGAGTAGTAAAGGTTTTCATTATATACACTTTTTTGTCGGCAGTACAACAGTTAAAAAAAGTAATCGAAACAAAACAATCGATTTACTTTTACTTTCAGATATTTCTAACAATGTACTACGACAACCATATACTTTCAGAAAACCCTAAGTAATTCTTATACAAAAAGTATTTTAAAATTTAAACAAAGCCTATGTAAACAACACTACCTTTTAAAGTAAATTTAGTCCAGGCACATTGTCATTTGGCAAATATCACTTTCAGAAATAGGCTCACCCACCTAAGCCGGAAATGCACAACATAATATGTTGTTCTTAAGAATTAGTTTCAAGAATGGTATGCGTTGCTTCTAAATAGTACGAACGTCCGGTAGTATTGAGTCATTCAATATCCTAACTCAACCACGAGAGAAAATGTCAGGTGTTTCCACAGGACGGAGACGAAGGGTGAATCACGGGTCGATGATCAAAACACATCACGTAGAATCATGCATGCCATAAGCAATAGTCGTCATACCATAAAGGCTATTTTAAAATTTGCAAACTATACCTTCAAAACAAAATACGTACAGCATGTGATAATTCTGAAACGCAGGGAAAAAGTTTAACTGTCTCACTTAATCTAATATGATTTTAATCATAATAAAATAATTCAAATTTAGTTCCGTACTATTTAGTGATAAATAGTTAATTTGTATTAAACTGCACTTAGAAAAATATGCAGTTTGTCTGCATTGAAAATGGGCTGATAAACGTAGGACAAAAACACATTGTTTTAACTACTTGGAATACATAATACAGTATCTTCCATTGTCTCTGTTAAAAATATTTATAGTTTCAAAATTACTCCTTACATTTTCATTTTTAAGTGGTGTATTCAGTGAGGCGTGACTAATGGGATTTACTCCCAGCCATTGTCTCTTTTAACCCGTATAAGCAGGGGATTAGTTCCTTGCAAGGGTAGGACCTAGGAGCGCATGGTTCCTCTGCGCTCCTCGGTCCTACCCCTACGAATTTTATTTATGACCACCCATTAGAGCAGGCATTGTGCGCTCCTCGGTCCGCGAATCTTTTTGGATAGCTCTCGCATATAAGGACACTTACTTACTCATCAATTTGTCATGTCATTTCTGTAGACCTATTAGAATTCCAATAACTATTTGAGAAGCCGAGAGTCGCACCCTATTGTGAGTATGGGGTCGACGATTGGCTTATAAGACAAAGTACACACATGATATGATTGATGATGGAAAATTTTGAAAGTAGGCCCTTATTGCAGGTGTGACTAAATAGTTAATTTTCAAAATTATTATTGAAACTTTTGATGATGTTTTTATAACATATTTCGTTGCTGTATTTTAAATCAACGTACACATATTCATTATTATAAATGTTGAATAATTATAATGATCATGGCATAATAGATTTCAAAGGTTGTTTAGAGCACTTTTTGTCTGAGATTGTTTTGACTGTCTAGCTTCTGTTTGGCAGTTTCCAACAGATCATATTTCACATATTTTTTTAGAAGAGATTCCTGAGCAAATGAGGCTCCGGTTGAAACTCACATCAGTTTACTAGTTATAGATCCGTCACAGTCCAGTCCCAGTTACATCCGCAAAACTAGTTTAGTTTTTTTCAGTTTTTAAATGTTACTTGAAAATTTGTAACTAACAAAATGTCAAAATGTTTTAAAACATGTAACCCTTATAGTTTTATTAATGTTAAAATTGATCTTAAGACTACACTTAAAAACTTAAGGAGAAAGCCTTGGCTCATACAGCAACGGTTATTGAATCTTATTTTATTCCATGATCAAGGACGTAAAATATAAAAAAATAACCAAACCTTTCGCATAGTTAAATGTTAATTAGTTTTTTGTGTTGGAATGTCAAGTGGGTGAATTGTTTGCATTCGTGTTACACATTATATATTGCTACAGTTACTATAAATCTTATAAATAATTACTGTCACTGTACAACGACATATTAGGTTAGGATAAATCCAAACATTGGACGAAATGGGAACCACTGTACCAGCTGATCGTAGTCGTAGTACCTTTAACTGTTCCAATCAATTTCCAAGTGTACACGGGTTACGTGCATAATAAAATCACACTGTTTTGTGTTGTTTAATTTGGAACACTGGTGTTTGACAAAGTAAAAATTGTGCTGCAAAGTAAGTAAATGCAGCAATTAGCAGCTTTATGTACTATAATTAGTATAATCAAATAATATATTTTGTTTTGGTCAGTGTTCATTATTTGTAAACTAATTGACATTTGCCGATACTTTATTAAGTAATCATAAACTCTGCGGACATTAGAGAAGTGTCGAGGGATTACGTTTTGCAGGTGATCAAATAATCGCTTTAGTTTAAGCATTGGCTATTTTGACAGTCAACTGTTTAAGGCAACGGTCACTTTTGGGTTACTTTGTATTTTATAAATTACGAGGCGTTAGCCCGTCCTACGTACGGGAATTCAGTAGTCAGTTTAAACCGTGTACAATTCAGATCAGCTAGTTTACACAAATAGAGGCAAAGTTTCTTGTAGTTTTAATGTGAAAAATCATCTTGTAAACAAATGTTGTGTGACCAAATATGTTTTCATTCCAATATGGCCTATACGATAATCATTTTAAATCCGACATTGTAAATGTCGAATTCAATGTGACGAATTGTAAATGACATTAGACATTTATGTAAATGAGATGTAGGTTTGCAGTTTAAATCGAAGTGTAATATACACAGTGGAGGGTATCTTGAAAATGACAATAGCTTAGTAAGAAATAATCAAATCTAAAAAGTTGATCAAAATATGTCTTCAAAGAAATCAAATATATCTTTATTTTAACTAATAACAATAAAACCCCTTTACTATAGACCGACATTCGTAACAGTTCGTCTATTCACCGCTAGGAACACTTAAATCGACGTTCTCAACAGTTCGTCTCGTTACCGCTAGATGTCAACTAAACGTAGCTTTGAATGTACCGTAATATTATCAGTAATATACCTTGTAATAAGTATAAAAAAATATTTTGACACCAGCCAAACAAATCAAACAGTTATTTATTTAACACCAATTCACAACACTCTGGTCTAAAACTGCAGTAGTACCATAAATAAGCCGTTTCACTTATTGATACTCGCAGTGATCTTTGTGTAGCTCGCGCATATAAGGATCCTTATTAAACCAAAAATCTATATTTCTTTTTTAAAACGTTTAAAAATTATTTGAAAAGCCGAGAATCGTACCTCCTAGTAAAGCCCCATGTACACGTAGCTAGTTTACTAGCAGCTAGTATTCGCTGCTAGCACTAGCTAGGCACACTAGCGCGAAAATTCCCATCTACACGTGGCTAGTTATTAGCGCTTATTATTAGCGCTAGTCATGTAGAAGTGAAGTGTTCATTGGTCGCAATAGTCATTTCAGTTTAGCACAAAATGTCTTCTGTTCCCTTAAATAGGAATGTTTTGAGACAAATTTTAAGAATTGGTGTACAAGAGTTGTGTGAACATGAGCTTAATCTGTGTGGGTTCGAAAGTGGATTAGGAGGCGAGAACTTCTTGGTGCGTCCAATACTCTTTTAAGAGAACTGGCATTGGGAGACCAGAGTACTTTAAGTTTTTGAGAATGGATGCTATTAAGTTTGAAGAACTGTTGGAACTAATCACTCTACTGATTAAGAAAAATGATACTGTGATCACTGGCGTATGGTGGGTGAGTGGCGATTAGCACTAGCAGAAGTGCAAATGCCCCGCTAGTACCGCGCTAGTTCGCTAGCGCTAGTGGTCACGTGCCCACCCCCACCACGTATTAGCGCTAGTAATATCAAACATGTTCAAAACGACTAGCAGCGAGTAAAATGCTAGCGCGCTAGTAAATTTTTACGCTAGTAGACCGTTTACACGAAGCGAATTTACTAGCGCTAATCAACTAGCTGCTAGTACTAGCCTCGTGTACACGGGGCTTAAGTATGAGGTCGATGATTGGCTTATAAATGAACATTGTTAATGGTATGATGATGATAGGAGTTTGAGACAATTTTTAATCGTTTACAGTTATTTAATACTATTAGTTGATTTTAAAATTATTATTTTCACCTTTGGTGATGTTATTTTGTTTAACATGTTTTGTTTTTATTTTTATATCGGTATATCTAATTATATTATACGCTACATGAAACTATAAGAACAATAAGGCATTTTTGTTTTAAGATTTAACCCCACATAGACCAAAATGTTAGTCTAGGTGTGTAGATTTGCAAACTGACCTCATATTTTTGAACAAGTCCTTGGGCTCTGCCCCAGTGGTTTTAACGATCCTATGTTATCCTTATGAGAACATATTTGTTTACATTATAATCAGATGGATAATATTTAATCGCTTTTAATATTTTAGTTGCAATTTAAGGAAACGTGTACTACAAAGATTTTATGACTTGGTTGGAATGAAATATTTACTATTTTAATTAAGGTTGGCGTAAATATTACAATGGAAAATAGCGAGAAAGCCTCACAATCTGACTTTGTGATGCTATCGCATATAAGGATCCTTACTTAGCATTTGCTTAATCCCCCGTAGAGTGAACCACATTTAAGTTAAAACTATTTGAAAAGCCCAGAGTCGTATCTAAGTAAGTATGAGGTAGATGATTGGTATATAAACGGACATTATAAATGGTGTGATTATTGTTTGATGTGGGGAGATTTTGTAATTGTTTACAGTAGGCTTAATGTTAGTCTGTTGATAGGCAACACTTTGTAAACAAATCGTTTTGCGACTTTTTGTAGTGTATTCATATTTGGCATATAGATTAATAATATATATATATGACGGAATTGCGGCTATTTAAACGTTGTTAACTTAAATAACATTAAAACCATAGAGCTAAATACAATAACAAAAACATGCCACTATAATTATGAATTCATTCTTTAAATGAGCATATAGATTTGCTTCTACAGTGGGCGATTTCATAGAAATGACAATAGATTAGTATGAAATAAAAAAATATCAAAATGTATCTTTAAATAAGAAACTACGATAGTTTTATTATTCTAAATAAGATTAAGAATTTTCAATCGGAAAGCCAAATAGTAATCTCATAAAACCACGTTTCCATAGCTAGATCGATGTTTAACATTAGTAAACTGATAACATTTACATATAAAACCTATTCACAATAAGACCGACGTTAGTAACAGTTCGTCTATTCGCCGCTAGACAGCACTGACATCGTCGTTCTTAACAGTTCGTTTCGTTACCGCTAGATGTCACCTAAACGTAGCTTGTAATGTATCGTAATATTATCATTAGTTGAAGTTGTATTGAGTACAAATTTAATCTTAGCCAAACATAATTTAACATATATTTATTTAACCCCAATTAACAAAATTCTTGTATAAAACTGCAGTAGTACTATAAATAAGCCGTTTTACTTTTTGACACTCGCAGTGATCTTTGTGTAGCTCACACATATAAGTATCTTTGCTTGTCCATACTTTATCTTGGTTGTAAATACATTTCTTTTAATATTGTTTGAGAAGCCGAGAGTCGTACCTCTATGTAAGTTAGAGGGTCGACGATTGGCTTATAAATGCATAATATACATGATTAGATTGATATACGACTACGTCAGGAGATATAGCAACCTTTAAAGCAGGTTATAAATAACAATCCAATGATAATTAAAACTAAATTTTTAAAATTTATTAGCTTCTTACCCTCCCTGTTGCAGCAAACCTATGTACTCGATAAACTAATTGTATTTAGAAAGGGAATAAATGTGATATTTTAAGGAGACATTTTAGTGCCAAATTAATCAGGCAAATGGAAATTCGCTTAATCTAATAGTCTGCAGGTTTTTTGTGGCGAGGGGTATTTTTTTATTATTATTATAGGTATTCCTATTAAACTAAATTACCTTACAGGGCATAGCACTCATTGCCATTTGATAATAAAAATAAGAAATTTGAGAAAGCCATTCATTATATTGGTTTGAAATAGATAAAAATCAATACGACTTAATACATTATACAAATAACCAATTTAGAATTAGATGCAAAGCAAAACACAATTTTGAATTTTAAAATGCGGTGATAAGTAAACAAGAGATACATTAAACCTGTATCTCTTCATTAAACCTTAAATATTTGCATTTAAATCGCAGTCAAAAGCTATACAAGGGCTTCGAGCTCTTTACCCTTCATAACCAACACTTTGTAAAAAAAATTATCAACGACTTTTTTGTAATGAGTTCACATTTGATATTTAAATTAATAATATATTATTTTAAAGGTACTGTACCCAATATTAGAGCTCATTGGTACCCAACAATTTAAACAGCTGATTGTTTTAGCTAACTAGCTGTGATGATACCTAATTACCGCATATTGTTTGATACATAGTATCTAAAAATTCGGGGTTTCTCTTTCATGAACAATTTTTTCTATTTAGTAACGTTAGAATTGTAATTACCTTTTCTAAATAAAACATTGCTGAGATTGTTTTGTTTACCTGTGTAGCTTTATGTTCTTTAAATATACTCATAAATGGCTGCAATTTTAAAACAAAAGATAAACAAAAACTCTGGAGACTAAACAATGCATAGATTTAACAAAACTAACGACCAAAAATAGATAATTACGAATAATATAAGTAAGCCTTACAAATATATTGATTCGCCTTCAAAGCAAAGTCGGCATTCAGTGAAGTACAACTTCAATACAACAGTATCCAGTAGATAGAAGGCGCAATTATCAAGCTTTCTAACACTTTAGCCAATGGCAGAGTTTTATTTTCATATATATCCTGGCTTACATCTCGTAAATGGAAAGGTTTTGGCTAAATCTGAAAAACTTTGGAGATGGTATGAGATCCTATCACTAAACAATTGTATGGGACATCGTACTTGAAATTTTATCGAACAATGCTTAGTTGTAAAGTTTTTTTTTCTTAAATAGTTAAATGTTATTTACATTTAAACTTATGGTTTGATAAGCTAAATTAGTAAAGAGTCCAACTCTCACTTTTGTTTAGAAAGAGCTTTAACAATCGGCATTAGTATATTCCTTATGGCTTCCACATAGTATTTTCCTTCAAATATAAAACTAGGCAATGTGCATGTCTAAACTGTTCTAAAAATAGTATTTGTCAGATCGTAGTAGCCGTAAAATCCACAATAAATTGACGATGATAAATATTGTGTTATATATTGCATTATGAATGAACAACAATCATTGCATTTAAACATATGGTTTAGAACAATTTGTGCTCATTGTTAAACTAACAATCAAAACAGCTGATTAGCTAAATCAGTGATGTAACACAATAACTGTATATACGATTTGATACTCTTGACTAGCCCAAAATATAACCTATGTTGTTACTCAGTATCTTATAATTGAGTTGTCTCTTTTATTTTTGAACTAGTTTTCTTAAATTTTGTGTCATAAGATTTGTAATAACAATGTCTAGATAAATAAACCCTTGCGATCGTTTCAGTTACGTATTTAGTTAATTTCTGTTAAAAAAATTAAATATTTAATAATCGAACATTACAAAAAATAATACGTTTCCTTAAAATAGGTAACGGCATTGTTAGTGTAAGTTTCTCGTTAACCATTAATTCACAACAAACTGACATTGTAAAAAAAAACTGTCCTAGGACTTTTAATAAATGGTCTAGACTTAAGCTACCAGCTGAAATTAGTCAGTCTCATCGAACAAAAAGATTTATCCCTGCGTCAACGATTTTAAAAATAGATCCTCAAGATTTATTGTATTTAAACTTTCAAGGCCTTAAACAGTAGGAAATTATTAAAAAATTAGATGCTTAATCTAAATGGGTATATAAATAAATAACTTCATACAAAAGTACAAACTTTATTTTACTACAAGAATTAAAAAAGAAACCAGTAAAAGATTTAATTACCACAAAAGTGTTCTTTCCCGCTATTCGTACTAGGCTATTAGCGGCGTTTGCCTCTAATAATCCAGTACAAAATTTGTATTTTTAATAAATAAACTGAGCTAAGACAAAAGATTCTAGTCGATCACAGGCAGTAGAAGAGGCAAGTTCTTCAAGTCATGGCACGATGGAATTATCAGGAAAATCAACTGAAACACAATTAGCGAATGATTAAAAATATCCAATATTATCACTAGAAAGGTTCTAGCATGGACAAGAGGTTATAAGGTATACTAATAGTACGTAATATATGTTCTATTAGATTCTTTACTAAAATGAATGTTTAGAGGCATAAATTATTTTGTAATATTGATTCCATATTTTAAATTTGCTCCAAAATAGGCCAAATTTGCCACAAAATGTTATCCCTTGATCACTAACCCTATCTTCCTTATGGGTAATGCAAGTTTGTTATAAAAACATAACCTTATTTACTTTTAAAATAGGTAAAGCGCATCACGCTATTAATTGCTGATCTTCAAAAACCAAAATATTTTTCTATTTTCAATTCATCGAACAATGTTTCAGACAGAACAAGATAAATCTGAACAGCTGTTTCTCCTTTCTTATAGCGATAAAAGGTATGAAAAGTTGACTTTGAAAAAATAATGTTGCAAAACTAAACACGTGTTTTTATTTGCAGTTTGCTTTCATTAACACAGCTGTTAATGCCAACAATGGAAATATCATCTTCACAGGTTTTAATTTCTTCCCTTATACTTAGTATATAGGAAAAAGATTGTATTTTCAAAACTTTCGAGTTTGAAGTTATGAATGGATATACCAGTTTTGGGATTCCCTGAACCTAAATTAGTGTTATTTTTATCCAATTTTGATGGAATTTGGTATGTGGGTTCTAATCAACTGTGTCATTCATGCGTTTTCTTTTAATTTTTGAAGTCTTTATTTTCAATGGTCATTTCCTCATAGAAAACCCACCTAATAACGGTAAAATTGCATTTGATAAAAAACGGCCTGAATGATTTAGATTAACATTTAGTATGTAATACCTGTAGCTGTTTTTTTTTTTTTTTTTTTTTTTTTTTTTTTTTTTTTTTTTTAACAAAACGGCTTAACCCCCATTTCTGTAAAAATCAAGGGTTAAAAAGTTATTGAACTTATGTGATTTTGCCATAAAAACCAATAAAATAGCGGGAAATTTAAAATAGAAAAAAAACGGCTCGACTGATTTTGAAAAAATGTATGTTATGGCCATGTTACTGTATACAAAATTGTGTAACACCTAATACTATTAAAAATACTGTCCTAAATTTATTGTAACTGTTGAGATTATGCCCGTTAAGTAACCTTAGTTACTCCCACCGCTTGCTTACGATAAGGGTTGTTAACAAGCTAATTGGAGAAAGTATGTGTCAGATTGCTGATACCGTTTTCATTTATTTGTTAATGCTTTGTCTTGGCTTATTGATTAACTGTGACAGTCATGTTTATTAAATGGCTGCTACAAAGCAAGAACATGTGTTTTGAGTGTTGAAGCAATGGAGAAGTTGTGATCGTTCAAAAAAACTTCATAAAAATTGGGGCCATCTTTCTTCTAACTGTTAACGTTGTGTTAGAGTTTATATACACCTTACCTATCTTATCGAAGTGATATTAGTGAAAACAGCAGATTATTTAAATACCCCCGCCACAGCAAACCTGCAGACTAAGAGAATTTCCATATGGGGGATTTTATTTTCACACAAATCTATTTTAATATCATTAGGTTTAATGAGTAATGAGTAGGTTGCTGATACAGGGAGAGTATAAATTAGTTTTTAATAAAATATTAATAGTTTAGTATAAGATAAATAAATTTGCCATGTTTTATCAAAATATATCAATAAACAAGCAAACTATAAGAGTTAACTTATTCTTCATAACAATAACTTAATAATTTTAAATTTAAAATATTTTTTTTAATTTTCTCCGTACCCGATAATCGTACAAAAACACCTAAATATATAAAATTATTTGTTTTTAAGCTCCACAAAATGATTTTTAAAGAAATTACGTAGTTTTATTTTTTGAGTGTCAAACAAGGGAAGACCCCATTTTTACCCCATAAAACATAAAAATACCTGTTCCCATATCATTCTGGTTCGTGAACTCGTTAGAATATACATAGGTTTACACGTTTGCACTAAATTTTATCAAAATCAGATGGTCCTTGCTCAGGTTATCGTGCTTACGGACACACACATATTTGAATTTGAACGAATTACGTTTTTTTGCCTCTGGGGACATCAAAACGAATAAGTTAATCGTTTCCCAGTCCAGGTTTTACCATGAGACCTACCGTAGCTTATTCCCTATATGGGATATTCTCTGAAACTAAAATGTTTGTGTTCCCTAAACGGAAATGGTGCTTTGGTGCATTGGGAGAGTAGGTACCCTCCTATACCAGAGATGGAAGACCAAACTGTGTAGAAGGGGCATGTCGATCAACTTCTAAAATGTGAAATTTAGGCGTGGAGAGTTGATACATATTTCCATAGACTGTCTCTATTTAAATAAGCTTTTAAAAATCCAGCTGATCAGTTGATACTTTGTTGTTTTTATTTATGTTTATAATAAAACTATACTACACAGTAAACATTATGTGCACTATTTGGCTGCACTTTACTTTACGTCCTACACTCATTCGAATAAATATATCGATCGATATATCGATTATTTCATCCGATATTTCAAGTTCGGATGGTTAGGCTAAAACCTAACCTAACTAACCAAATGAAATAATCGATATATCGAAAAGTCTATATATCGATATTTTTTATTCGAATGAGTGTTGGACGTAAAGTAAACACTATTTAATTTAATTAGTTTAGGTGCATAATAGTTTGTTTTTACCATCTGGCCCTGAAAGTAGCCACACAAGTTTGTTGGTAGACGTCGTAAGATGTGCCAGGACCACAGTTGAGCACCTGGGTGACACCGTTTCTACAGACAGCCACACTCGAGCATGACGGGTTGAGGCGGTAGTAGGTGTTGTCACGACACGTCGCTGCCGGGTCCAGTAAACCTGGGAAAACAATTTGAGTAAGTAAAAATCTAAATCTGGGTAGACTGCCGTATCTGTTGTCAAAAACAATCGAATGAAAATATCGATCAATATATCGATTATTCAATTTATCGAATGAAACAATCGATATATCGAATAATCAATGTTTTCATTCGGTTGTTTTTGACAACAGATACGGAAGTCTACCTCTTTTCAAACCAGCAATACAGTGTGTGTGCATCGGTAGGTTATTGTATATTCTTTGTAAGTTGGTGTACCAAAGTGCCAAAGTGAAAAGGTGACTTTTTTAAACTGTACTATTTTATATCACATATACTAGCATGAGAAACTAAATATTAAATTACTTCATTGATAGCACACTAGGAGAAACTCAATTCTTTGAATAAATTCAGCCTACACCTAGTCCATATAATATATTTACCATTCGGCAAAAGCTCTTAGAAATTAAAGCTTTAAATGTTGTGTGTTTAAAAGTTTTGATATTTTCTATTTTGACAGAAATACAGGCTCTTAAATAAAAGTTAGGAAGATGGACAGCTTAAAAATGTACCTATTTTTAGTTAGCAAGGTTATGATCTTCACCTACGACCGTTTTTTAAACTAGCCTTTTCAATTCAGTTCTTAGAATTCAAAAGTTTCAGTATTGTTTACTTACTTCACAGCATTGTTTTGTTACTTTACAGAACAAGTTTGGACCAATGCGTTCAAGGATTGATAGAAAAGAAATAAAATTGTAAATTTTGAACATGAACTTATCATCTGTTAACGCCAAATTGATTCAATGAGTGAGTGGTTGGGACAATGAGTCGTCACATCAAAATCAGTGGCAATGAGAGGTTATAAACGAATACATAACCTCTCCTAGACGTTATGAGTAGTGATTGTTAATAATTAAAAACTTTTGTAGGCAAAGTACTGTACGCAACTCGTGTAATTAGTCTTTAGAAGTTTTAAAGGCACCCACCAAGGCTTGTACCTTTATTTTTCTACTTACGTGACCTACAATACTACAATAAACTCCATCTTACATGGGTATGGATAATCAACAATACTTCTGCATAACAGAAACTTTTACTTACTCGCAGGTATTTTCTTGAGGTTGTAGTACGCCTCGGGACCAGCCACCGCAGGGGCTACTGCTGGAGCAGCCTCGGGGCCCTGGGTGGGCTCAGGCAGGAGGGCGGGTTCCGAGGGAGGTGCCGGGGGTCCAGGAGGTAGCGTGGGGTACGTCGTCTCTCCCTCAGGCAGTGTAGAGGTCTCTGGAGGAGGGGGTGGCTGGTTGGAGGGTACGCCGTCACATTGGACTCTGTAGGGGTAGTCGCATACTTGAAGGTCCTAGACAATCGTTAATATTATCAACTTTGGATACATTAATTAGACTTTTAAGTTTATAGTTTGGTCTGTCACTTCATTGTGCTATTTAGATACGGGGTATGTTTATAGCTTAAGGGTTAACGTCTGTTACTTTGGTTACGAGAGGGTGGTTAGGGGTGTTATACCATTAAATCCACAAGCATTTTATAGGCTTGGAGAGCTTTTGAAAAAACAACTTTATTTTCCCGGTTACTTTTAAAATATTATAAAAGAATCTTTACTTAGCTTGGAGTAGTATTTTATCACATGGTGTAAAAATCTGAGGTATTGTTGTTTGGTATACTATCCTGCTTTTAGGGATGAAAAAATAAGTATTACTATATAGGGAAGGTTTTTCAGAATATATTTTTGTGGTAAGGTAATTGAGCAACTATTGAGGTAATTATTGAGAGTCCTCTTAGTCGTGTAGTGAAAAAAAGTTTATTGTAAAAAATAAGGTTTTTAGGACCATCATAGGGCTTTTAAATGCTGACATTTCCCACGGAAGTGTAAAATTGTAAACATTACACTTGAGGCTAGATAGACTCGATACTCTAAAGTTATTAAGTTGAGTTAATTATATTTAGAGAAGTAGGCATGGTATTTTGTCCCAACACGTTTGATAACTTTGAATTTTAACAAATCCCAAACTTAAATCATGCCACCTGCAATCTGTTATTCTTTAATTCTAACCATAAGTTACCTTGTGGAAGTTGAGCCCGGCAGGACAAGTGAACTCGAAGGGCGTGTACCCGACACACATGTAGAAGATTCCACAGTTCTTGTTGCTCCTGTAGGTGCCGAACTCCGTGGGACAGCGAGCTCCAGGAGATCCAAGGTCCTGACTGTCCGGAGTCTGTCCTGGAAACTCTGAACTCCCAGGGTACTGACCACCCGAGCCTCCAGAGCCGCCAGCACCACCAACGCCACCTCCAACTCCGGGCTCTGGGAATGTATGATCAGTGAGGGGTGGAATCTTTGGTAATTAAACTTCCAGGTTTGACAGTATGCTTTGTGGAATCAGCTCTTAGACCGTAAACTAATAAATATTGAGAATCAATCTCATAATTTCAGCTGAAAAGAAGTACACAAATCAAGTTGTACTATTATGCTGGTTATACTAATGTGTGTTGTGTGCAGAAAAATGAAGGAAATCACAGTAAAAATAGTGGATACATCAATCATATAGAAAAGTGTTTTAAGCGGAATGTTTACATCCCCTTGTTAGTTTTTTTCTGAAAGCAAAGATAAACTTGGTACATCAAGATAGTATTTTTAAATTAAATTAAATCATTGCTGGTATAGTTTTTGGAGTGCGACAGTTCTGTCCAAGAGGTAAATGTTCTAATTGCCAATCCCCAAAGGATTTCATGGTTGTGATAATTAAAAAACTCGGCCTTAAGCTGTGGGCAGTCATTTGAAGAAAACAGAATAGATTTGTGTCAACTAAGAGAAACTTATTCAGATTTTAGGAGTTCACATCATTTGTCCAAGTCAGATAATTTTGTGATTTGGTATACAAAAACATAGCCAATTTTTAGAAACCTGGGAATTCTGTTTACCCAAAAAGTTTGACTGGAGTTACTTGGAGAAAAGTAATTATCAGTGTCGATTACGTTGGTTATTAAAATACTTCAGCGTCCAGCGCCCGCGCAAGACTTAATCTACTAGCTATTAAACGTCCTGCAATTATCTATAAATCTTGATGACTCTACTTTATATACAAATCATATTAAAACCGCCCTCAATATGATGCAAGTTTAGTAAACTTCAGGAATAAGCCATTATAAATTTGCCAACTGTTCACAAAAAGAAATCATAGCTTACGGAATTAAGTTAATTGTCTTTTGATTTTAGCAGTTTGATTTATTAATTGCCTCATTCACAAACTCATAAGTCTGTAATGTGTCGACGTTAACTTTTTACTTGCCTAGCCCTCGATCATTCAGGTCAGCAACTCAATGCATAGTGAAAAACAATAGACTTTGACTATATTTGAACCCGTGACCTCTAAGACAAATCTAACACTCTAACCACTAGAGAGGATTCACAACGCCACGTCATACTCACGTTGGGTAGGCTCTGTGCAGGCGACGTTGAAGGCGTAATCGCAAAAGTTTGTGGCCTCGTTGAAGTAAAGACCCAGAGGACATTCTTGCTCCACCACTACATCATCCCAGCAGTTGACAAACTTTCCACAAGAGGTCCCGGGGAATTGTCCCCTTGGTGCCTTGCAGAGGGCTTTCAGACCTTCCGCGGGTTGGGAAGTCGTCGTCTCGCCTCCCAACTGGTTGTCCACCTAGAACATCCAAGAGTTAGCTTCTAGAAGGATAAAAATTGTTGGCAATTTGTGTTTCAAAGCTTGCAAAGGGAGGACTGAAGGTCTTCTTGATTTTTGGAAGACTGTATATCTATATCGGAATGAACCACAGCCGTGACGAAATTGGTTTATTTCTTATTTTCCTACCAGATTACGAAATTCGTGATTTAACTTTTACCTGTCTCAATAACTTAAAATCTTAAAAGGTTAACAGGATCCATTCAAAATAAATCTTGAAGCTACCCAAGGAGATTGGAAAGTTTTTCTGGAGTAAGGTGTTTGAATAGGCCATCCTATCGAAACGTTGAACAACTTGGCTATTATGATTAGAACTGTTGACAGGCACTGTAAATCTATATGGGTTAAAATATTCTTTTAAAGGAACATGTCTCCTGACCCTTTGACTTACCAGGGGATTGTCCAATGGCTTAAGGCTTTAGGTAGAAGGAGGGTAGTTTATATCATACAGACTATATGTTCTTGTTGAGGGTCTTGAGAAGTATTCGTGGTATTTCATCACTCTATCACCTACCTCAGGTAAAGGTTGTGGCGGAGGTGGAGGAGTATCAGGCGGACCTGGGGGCAGTGGCGCCTGTATGGTCGGTTGTGGAGGCAGCGCCGATGTGCCTGGGATGGGAGCGTCAGGGCCAACTGGGGCAGCGGGGGCGGCGTCTTGTCTATAGTCTCCATAGTATCCTCTGTTGAGCAGAGGGCTGGAGTACAGACTGGGAGCCTGAGGAGCTCTCTGTGCCACCGCCTGTTGCCATTGGAGAATCTGCTTCTGGTAGTTCAGTGCAGCTTGGTCTGGAAAAGATACAAAGCGTCACATCTCAAGAAACCATTTCCTTCTACACTTGAAGGTGTATTTATTTATTTTGGAAGGGGCTTGGGACCTCTTTTACCTTGCATTTGTTAGTCTACATGGATCGCAGAGCAAACATCCAACAAAGCTTACAAATAGCCATTTGCCATTTGGCTATCAATAAAAGCCTGTTATAGAAACAGGACGACAGAGAGTAACAAGACCAGGGTAAGGACCGTTCACATACAAAAACGTTGATAAATTTAACTGGCTGATATAGGTATGATTAACAAAATACTTTTTCAGTTTGACCCCGTAACCACACACTCAATATTATTTTCTTATGTTACTTCTGAGATGGCAACTAAAATAAATCGTCGTGTTTAGAAAACAATACAACTTTCTTATCATTGAACTTTGTAATTCTCTACCCCAAGAAATCAATTTCAGATTATGAGTGCTTTAAAGTGCAACGTTTTACTTTGTTAGCTTAGTGGTTAAAGTAACGGAAAGTGTGAAAGCAACGGGTTGATCTTCGATTCATCCACAAAAGTTTTAGGGTTATGGACCGATTTCCCTTGAAGAGGGTTATTATTCTTCCAGAAGAATTCCACTAGTGTAGACATTAACAGAAAATTTTGTACAGCTATTTCTTGCGAGATAGTGCCTCTAAAGTGTCCAATCATATCATAGGTATAAACAAACGTAAATTCCATTGTAAGTGTAATGCATTTGGCATCACTTGACTAAGTTACTGAGGCTCTGAACCGCTTCGGAGCCAGCCAATGTAAGAAGCCAGTACGAAAAACAACCTAAACTATAGACCCATGAATCAGCCGCATCATGAAGTATTGTTCCGCAAACGGGCATCCAAAACAAACAAAACCGTATTAGCTTTAGCTAAACAAAGGAAAGGCAATATCACGTAAGCTTATAGTGTGGGAGCGCCTGTAATACAGGAGCATGTCATATTGCTGTCTTTGATACTTACTGGACAATCATTGGCATTGGCAGTTCATTCACCTTTCAAGTTGTGTAATCTACTGCTTGCTTAGTAAATTACCTTCTTAATAGGATCACAGTGCCTTTAGTGTAAGCACAGCAGGTCTTATATAGTAGGAAACTTCTGCATGAGAGAGAATCGTTCAAACCCTTCTAATCACCAATGGATTTTGTATATGAAATAGCCGTGTCTTGTATTCCTTCACCAATGTTAACTTGCAGGTCCAACAATTTAAATAAAATAAAAATGCCTTTATTGATCAAGCGTTTCTTGGCTCAACTGCTTTTCAGAACAACTCTCGTCATATATTATGAGTAACAATAACTTATAACTAACAATAACTAACAAACAAATAAATGGAAACAATAACAAAACAGAAACAAGAAAATCTAAATAACAACTAATCATAACAGTACTATTCCTTAATTTTGGCTCTAAAAGATGGCAAGGCATATTTTTTGAGGCCAGAAGGGAGGTCGTTGTACAGCTTGTGGCCGAAGTACGTGAAGCTTCTCCTTCCAAACTCAAGCCTCGCTCTTGGAAAGTGAAGCTGGAGACCTCCATGGCGGGTACTGTGCTGAGAGACATCCTCCCGGAAAGAGAGCCTCTGAAGATCATTTTAAAAAATATGGGTTTTCTCAGGTAAAGAGAAGCTTTTCCGCATCGAGACAATGTCTCCTTTATTGGGCTAAATTCTTATGTCACACTCTCTTAGGGTTTCAAATAGAATAGAAACGGAAATTCCTCCAAAATTTAGTATAGTAAAAGAAAACATGAAAGAAACTCAAGCAATCATGAACTCTTGTCAACTTTCAATTGGCATTTGGAAGCTGTTTTAGACTTAAAAATGAAAAGTATGTCATAAGATTTATCATCCTAAGCTTACAACAGTTTTTTAGGTAGTCCCTGCAAATTGTAGAGTTGTTGTTCGTTGTTTAATGTGTTTCTTGGTATTTATATTAGCCTAAAAGGGATTTCAATAATTATATAAAGGCCCTTCGAATCTATCTTAGTTCATTCCAAACGCTACCAACTAGAGGAAAAACTGGACTAATATTCTACACTAGTATGTAAGGACTAAATTAAATGCAAAAATTTCAATTTACGGACATTGACTCATCAACCATCAGCTGTTTTCGTCCAAAAAGAACTTGCTCAGGCAAGCAACCTGACGACAGCCTGTCTAAATAACACCGATCAAATATGCAAAACGGCGTTCGCTTCCCATCATTTTGATGTAGTTAGGAAATTTGCTAATGACTAAGATTTCGACCACTCCTTGAAAGATGATGTTCATTGAACTGATTTAAATGAAAGGTGAATGACAGCAGATGAAATCTTAAGAGGTTTAAATTTATTTTTTTCTACATCTGTTATTGATACTGCCAAACTCGAGTTAAAGGAAATTCAGGTTTGATAATAATGTGCTGTATATTTAAAACAATTTGATTAGTGGGGGACAACAGGTACACAACATGGTCTACTTTTAATCGGAACTAAATCCTACATTGAACTCAACGAATAATCAATAACTCTAACTCATTCGTTTTCAGGATTAAAAAACACTACTTTACCCATCCAACACATGTATTCACAAAACTAGTTTTCGCTGCAGGCTGCATGACGAAAACAGCAATAAATATAGCTTGATGTACAAATCCAATACACTTGAGCCCATCAACTTCTAGACTCGTGTCCAATGATGAATCAAAACCTTGATCGCTTAATCCGTATATTATCCCTGTATCTACAGATGCATCTGGTTGCACCATACCCCGCGGTGATCATAAGATACGAGCTCTGGGACAAGTCAGTGATTGCGGTGTAAACAATCTTAGCGGCGGATTGTTGATCGTATTTCTTGTTTATTGTTTATTGTTGTTCTTGTTTATTGTCCGGTTGGTGAGTCAGTTTGACGAGTAACAAGTAGGCGACCGCTTGTTGTATTGGTTTGGCTCTTGTATTGTTCTGAACCTTTGAAAATTAGTGAGAATGTTACTATGTTGTGATAAATAAAAAGAATAAATAAATAAACATAAAAATGCACTCAACATTTTTCAAGGATTCAACATCCCCTCTGCTAATCTATAAAATGGTGTGGTGTAAGGGAGTAGGTTTACTTCTTGGAGTTGATCACCATAGACCTCAGTCTCCTTGAAGAGTGGTTAAATTTAATCTTGTGTCTAAAAAGGCCACTAATTTTACCATTAAAGTGTGGAAAAGAATATACAAATACAAATAAATCCACAGACCCCACTCTTAAGGTCTCTGACAAGGCGAATAAATATCATTCTTTCTATCAACGTATATTTAGCCATTACAACTTGCCTTAAATGTACTGTACATGACACAATAATTATTTTGTTCAATTTGTCCAATGAGTTGAAAAATGAGCGCTCAATTATTTATAATCAACTCGAAAAATAGTTTGAATCAATCATATGTTGACCCTTTTGACCGATAATCGAAGGAAATTCCAAGTCCGAGTTGACAGAACACATTTAATTAATTCGCAGACCCCGCCAAGGAATACTAATGCGAATGTATCGTGGCTGGCGGAATGTGCTACAAGTTGCATGGTAAATGATCATGAAAGATATCGCTACAGCTTGGGTCAATGTTCCACTAATGAGCGGTACAAGTGATGTGATCGCCAATGGATAGTGTTGCTGAAGTGTTGCAGCTTGAATGCTGGATCGGCAAATTGAGCCGAGTCTTTTTGGGCTGATCACTTGGGTGAAATTTACTGACTGTGAATGCATGAGGATGATTTGGGTTAGGCTTCATACGGTTGAATCAGTTTTTCAGCTTGTTTTAACTGTACTGAGATTTTATGATATTACCATAAATGTACTAGTTGCTAAAAGTTAGATATTTTTTAGATATGCAACTGCTGAATTAGTAAATCGTATAGTAAAAATTCTTCATGGAGTGATTGGTGAAGAAAGTACACAAACTGTGAACGCAAAGAGAACTATAATTTGGAATGTTGACGGATGGTCAGTCTTTCTTTGACTCTTGAAAAGTTGACTAATTGACTAATCTGCCCTAATTGTGGATAAGTTCTAGCAGTTGAAAAGATAAGTTAAGATAACGGGCCCCAAGTGATCTTAGCACTTTTAGTTGAGAGGATTTTCACTGGTTGACCTCTCGAAGATATATAAAGTGCAAACCAAATGTTCTTGGTATTTATTTTTCCGAAATATTTTCTTTGATATATTTGTTGTTTTGTAGTTTTAGTTAAAGAAACATCATTAGTTTGGGTTTTTTATTGGGAAATGGCGTATTACGGCACCATTTCTCTAAACTATAAAGACAATTCGAGGAAACTCAAACTAAAATAAAACGAATGGGAAGTTGACCATTAATATTTTTGCATAACAAAACACCTGTCTGAATAGACAAGCTTCTTAAAGTTGCTCAAATCTGACTTGGAATGGAGTGGATGTAATTTGAATGGGACCAGAGATTTTGAAGAATTATGTTTAATCTCCTTTGATTCTATTTATTCTTGCTACAGCCGACAATAAGGATTTAAATATTCAGTAGGTGGTTTTAATTTCATCTAAATTTGCTAGTGAATTTTCAAGATTTCCAGTACAGTTATTTGTAGGTTAGCTTGCCAAAATGTCTCCAATCTTTTGAGGACGATGCCTTGATAAAGGATTTGCGAAGACAATTTGAAAAACGAGGTAATAACAGAATTGCAATTTTACAATCATACTCCTGGTATTCAGAATTTTTGGCACTTAATTAGTTTGGTTGTTTGTAGCTTCAACAATTGGTCACATGACCTCGTAGAACTTCAAACTTCTTCAAACACAGATCATTTGAACGCCACAAACGACTGCAAACATATCTAAGTATTAAGTTATACCATCAATCATAATTACTTTTGTTCCATTACAAGGTCTTAAGGGTATTTACACGTTCAATTCTGCAGATCTGCAATGATTTCCATGATTGTTCTGACAAATCTCAACTTAATCCGCTCGAGAA